AAGTGTTGTGGTCAGATGAGACACAAAATGGAGCTCTTTGGCATAAACTCAACTCGCCGTGTTTGGAGGAGGAGGAATGCTGCCTATGACCCCAAGAACACCATCCCCACCATCAAACATGGAGGTGGAAACATTATGCTTTGGGGGTGTTTTTCTGCTAAGGGGACAGGACAACTTCACCGCATCAAAGGGACGATGGACGGGGCCATGTACCGTCAAATCTTGGGTGAGAACCTCATTCCCTCAGCCAGGGCGTTGAAAATGGGTCGTGGATGGGTATTCCAGCATGACAATGACCCAAAACACACGGCCAAGGCAACAAAGGAGTGGCTCAAGAAGAAGCACATTAAGGTCCTGGAGTGGCCTAGCCAGTCTCCAGACCTTAATCCCATAGAAAATCTGTGGAGGGAGCTGAAGGTTCGAGTTGCCAAACGTCAGCCTCGAAACCTTAATGACTTGGAGAAGATCTGTAAAGAGGAGTGGGACCAAATCCCTCCTGAGATGTGTGCAAACCTGGTGGCCAACTACAAGAAACGTCTGACTTCTGTGATTGCCAACAAGGGTTTTGCCACCAAGTACTAAGTCATGTTTTGCAGAGGGGTCAAATACTTATTCCCCTTATTAAAATGCAACTAAATTTATAACATTTTTGACATGCGTTTTTCTGGATTTTGTTGTTGTTATTTTGTCTCTCACTGTTCAAATAAACCTAACATTAAAATTATAGACTGATCATTTTTTAGTCAGTGGGAAAACGTACAAAATCAGCAGGGGATCAAATACTTTTTTCCTTCACTGTATGAATTTCAGAGCAGATGCTGGGGAACAAAGAGCGTCTTATGTGGAATTTGTTTTTGTCGTGGAAGTGGTTTAAAATGAAATGGATGCTCAAATAAGATGGTTGAATCTCGATTTTATGAAAGAAAAGAAAATCCACAAACAGCCAACACCGTTCAAAGGTGTCTCACCTTGCAGCCTAACAAAACAGAGAGATATCAGATTGAAAAAAATGCAGAAGTGAAAAAATATCACATTTCCAAAACAAGCAAAAGAACACTGCTTTGATTTAAAGACACGAATCTCGTGAATCTAATCAGATTCACGCAATCGTGACTCCTTGCCACAGGTAATTTGAAAGAAGCCCTCCAATGTCTTTCCACAGTGGTTTTAGTCCAACAGCTTGAGGGTGCTTTGCAGTGGCTCTGCGGCCGTCTGGAACGTTTTTCCTTCCGATATTTGGACGCCACTGGTGCGATGTGCTTTTACATCTGGATTGAAAACTAATTTCCTGAGAACTGCTGTTTGTGTTTGGTTTGTTGTCCTTCCCCCCGCACCTCCGATTAATTATCACGGTTAACTCTACGTACATAGATTACCGTAGCTTATCAACGTCCAGAATTTGTGTAAAAAAATCATACTGGACTGGTTTTCACCTTCAGGTTCTCATCAGCAGAGGTTGTATGGGGTAAGGGCCCTCTATACACACGATGGCACCCTATTTAATGCAAAAACAAGACTGCATTTGAAGAAAACGTGCATTGTTGCGGAGCACTATCGAATCTATGATATCTTAATGTATCTAATAATGTATCTAATGTATCTAATAAACATTACCTGTACATCCTCTAATGTTTCTCTAATCGTGCAATGATTACGTTAATTATATGATTAATGTAACTGAATTTTCGCTTTTATTTAAAACGTATTTTAACCATGCCAACGTATCAAAGTGTGGTTATTCTGGGTTGGACTCCAGTTTTGACTGCTCTATTTGATGAGAATAGACACAGATGATTTTTTAATTAAATCCACAAACGAAGACTCAACTACAAGCTTGTAGTCAACTAGACGAACACAAAATAATAATATAAAATAATAATATAAAATAATAATATAAAAAATGCTCATTAAATTAAAGCTCACAGTGTATTGCAATTCATTTTTCATTTCCTTATTGCAGGCAGGTCATGTGATTTAACGCATCACTTACCCTAAAAATACCCTCATACAGTAGTTAGAACATCTGTGGCAAGCTTTTGCCAGTGGTCATTGAAAATTAGCAGTCGTGAAACTTTATACATGCTTGGTTTCCTTTGTTTAGTCTAATTTAAGTTCGGTTGACCATTTGGCAAACGGAGTCTTGTTGGTGTGTCACGGGAAGACTTCAGTTGCGTCTTTGCTCTGGAGACGGGGTGATCGATGATCGATGTCCGGGCGCCGCGTCGATGGTATTCCTCGCGATTTCTCACTTGAACAGAGTGGGCGCTTGTGTGGCATTATGGGGCCAGTCGTGCACACATGTGTAGATTGCTCGGCGGTAGAGCAAGCAGTCCCATTATCCCAAGGCCTCCGAATTAAAATCATGGTTGGGGGTCGTCTCCACCTGTCAATGGGCACTACCTTTGGGGAAGTCGACATTGGTTGCCCTATGGATAGACTCGCCCCCGCAATAGGAATACGGAATCTCCGCCGGTTTCTCTGCAGGGCTGTACATAGAAGATCATCACCATCAATACCTCAACGCTCATTTAAGCAGGAAATCACTTGGACTTGGTCGAGGACTATAAAACAAGTACTATTTCGTTTTAAGTCGAACGGTGGTTGTTCTCCGGAGACACTAGACCCGGCCATGGGAATAAGCAACCTTTCGTTACTGACTCAAGTCGACGAAATAGAGGTGAGCATAGCCTGGTGCTTAAAAAAACAAATGCATTGGTGCTACGGGAGAAGAATTCAACGCGACCACGAGAAAATGCGAACTCCGAATAGAGTATGCAGTCGTCAGGGTCAGGATAACAAAGATCCCCGTATAGCCTGTAACAGACTGTAGGGGCAAGTGCTGTTGGCGAGCACCTATAAAGGCCAGAACGGCACACGAGGGGGTGGGTGACCAGCACCACGCCCGGCCACCTTTGTCTCCCCATTGGCGATGATTAAACACCGCACCGGGTACTCATTTGAGGCTGAGTCGACCTAGGGGAGGCCCAGGACTGGTTCAGATAATCGTCACTGATTTTGGCCGTGAGTGGGAATCGAACTCGGGTCGCCAGGTTCGTAGCGCTAACCGCTAGAGCCCACCACTACCTCCTGCATACCAGGTGATGGAGATAACGTCTCTTTATTTGAGAACGAGTTTTTGTTGTTGGTATGTAAATACTGAAAGGCACAGACAATAACAAAAACAACTGTGCACGATGCTGAACGTTTTTGTTCCCTGACATTGCACCGTGCCTTGGGAGTTTTACAGAGTTGATAAAATCAAGGAGTTTTCAAGAGCATTCCATAGAAAAAGAGAACAAACGTTGGTACCACAGGAAGAGTCTGGTTTCTCTCGACCCCGGACGATAGCGTGTAACACTGTGACATGGGGCCTTTAATATCCCTGCGTTTGCACCGTCGATTTCACAACAGCCAGACGTTGTCGTCGCGACGGTTATCCATTGCAGAAGTCGGAAAGTCCCTTTCGCATTCCTGGATTGAAGCCAAGTTGTGGTTTTTTAAAATAAAAATTTACAAAGCAAGTTGGGAAAACCCCAAAACTACAGCGGGGAGCCGGAGACGGATACAGCAACAGACCTTGCTAGGGAAGAGCGTGGCGATAACAAACAACGCAGTTGCCACCTCAGTAGATACGCATTGGGTCTCGCTCATGTCTGAAGATGAATGCGCGGGTTTGACAGGTGCACTTGAATGCAATGCGACTTGTGATATTATCTTGTCTGTCAGGGGACCGTGTACTCGCCTTGAACAACTGAGACACACTTCACGGATGTCTGTGCCTTTGTAAAAAAAGAAAACCTGTTCTCGTGTGCTGTCTACGATGTTAACTACGAAGCAGCAACGAGGCAAGCTTGATAAGTACGTGATGACACCATCATTTAATTTTATTTATTAGGTATAGCCCTGTGAGCCTTGCGGCTCTTGAACCGGGTGCAACCGCAACAAACAAAAACATGAACAAGAAAACATCTTAAAGTGACTAGAAAAAAATCCAGGCAAAATCAGCAAAATCTTTCAGAAAACCCGGCTGGTGAAGGGTGTTAATTGGTGATCAGGCAGACCGATCGATCGATCTCTATACGGCGGAATCATTCACACGGCTGAGTGACATCTCCCCTCTCAGGCGAAGTCGATCTTGAACGTACAGCGAGCCACAAAGAGGCAGTCAGAGACACGCTGCTAACACCTATGGGGCCGCCCATAAATGACGTCACGCACCTGGGAGGGGGGGGGTCAGACATTTGTGACGAGGGGGGTGGGTTGAGAAATGTGACGTCACATAAAAATGCGCAACTTTAAATAAATATAGACAAACACGTTCTACTTAATTAAATATATATTTTAATAAATGTTGAGTTTCTTAATTGTGCTTGTGCCCCACTGCATAGAATTTAACTAAACAGCAGGCATTAAGAGACCTTATTTCTCCATAACCAGTTGCTGCAAGGATTAAAACCGTGTAAATCTAATAAATCAAGTTGACAAGCAAACGCTGCTTTAAGTTACCAAACTAAATTTGTCCAAAGTCAAGTCACAGCTGAATTCCTCCTCAAGTGAACATTGAAGCGACGCTAATCTACCAATCTCCCGTATACTGTACAGCCTTGAGACCTGTGGTACGGTGCTAAAGAGGTTCAATATACCCATACACACGTAGCCTATTTAACTACGTAGAAGTTAAACACGCAGAAGTTAAATATGCGTACATACGACTGCCTATTGTTTTGCAAGTCACGGTGTCTAGGCAGCGAAAATAAATTTTAAAAAAAATTGCTTTTCGCAATCAAATATCACTCATCCGTACAAACCCCGTTCTTTCCATCACGAGTTAATTTTGGCATGGAGTTTCCAAAAATTCCCCCGCTCTCTCTCCCTCTCTCTCTCTTGCATGTTCACGACGTCGTGTGGGAGGCGGTGATTGACGTGAGTTGCCGCACCACCACCATCACCATCACACGCCCTCCTCCCTCTCTTCTTAACTCTCACCACGAGCGCTAGCTTCGCTTCATTCTCTTGCGAACTCGCAGTGCGCGACGTCTCCCACTTCGCCGCAGTTCGCCACCACCACCACGACGATGATGATGATGATGGCCACGAAGAAGAAGATGATGATGATGAGGACACCGATGATGTGGATGCTGCTGCTCGTCGCTGCGACCACCCTCACCGTCGCGCAAAGTACGTAACCGTCTTCAACGCGTGCTTCTCACAAACAAGCAACTCGCCTCGGACCGCGACGTGCGGTCAAGGAGACGTTTAAATGGCCCGTTTTTGGGACGGCGAATGCGTCGATTTAGCGGGCGATCGCTTTTTAAATCCTTTATATTAAGTTCACTTGCTTGCTTGCGCGCTTACGACCGTGCAAATCTTTCGGTCGTTTTTTAACCCACTTCCCGTGATCCAATCGAGCTGACATTTTGCACACAGACTCGTTGTGCGTGACAATTAATTTTCGTGAAAACTTTTTTCCTAAATTTTACACTGTTTAGGGAATTTTTTAAAATATTTATTTACCAATTGCTTAATGGTGGCAGACAATCATCTGACCCATAGGTGGCAGCCATCTCAAGCCAGAGGACGAGAGGACTCTCGCTGCCACGCATATAAAGGATTTAAAGTGAAAAACTTTGTTTTTACGGGTTAATTTTTTTTGTTTTGTTCGTTTCGTCCGCTCCGAGCGAGAGCAGCAGAAAGGAGCAACGCGTACGTTGCTGCCAACGCCCTCTGCTGCTGCAAAGGTTGCGATGAGGTCTGATCCGGACAGAAGCCCCCGTTAGTGTCGTCCGGGGTGGCTGCTTGGAAGGCCTTCGGGCAATCTTCTAAATTCGTAACACGGACGCACGAAAGACGTTGGTACAACAAAAAAGTAAATGCGTTGGGGACGCACGCGTGCAAGACTGCATCGTTACGTATTCTGTTTGGCGTTAGGTGTTTGTTTAAACTTTGTTTAACATCGACTGTCGTGCATGCCACCCTTCCTCGTCTGTCATCACACAGCAATGTTCTTGACTGATGTTCAGAGGGGGTAGGGGGGGCATTTTTGCCGATAAGACATCAGTATGTGAGGACCGCCACACATTTGAAACGATTGACGGTTTGACAGCACGATAATGATGATGATGATGTGGGGTGTTCTCACTCGTTGTGTATTGCCGGGGGCCGCACTAAAGGCCACCAGGGGCCACTAGTGGCCCAAAGGCCTTGCAATGAAGAACCATGTCCTGCAGGCTTGACTGAATATTCGCAAACCTTAAACGCCTAAATATTAATTTAGCCTTCCCTTCATGTAATTGGCGTTTGGTGCTGCTCCGCATATGCATTTGCACTCAATTGTTGCTTTGAACGATGTTTTCTAGTTTTGCGCTGATTTTTTTCTAACCTTGTTTTTGTATTCACCTCGGTACAGAATATGCAGTATAATTCCTCTTATCCGTTGTGATGTAGTGGACCAATATTATGGGTCCTATTTTCCGCGCCTTTATCCGCAATTAGATTCTACTTATCCGGGGAGAAAATGTTTTGCGAATAATCATGGATAATTGGATTCATTTTCCATTCAACTCCAATTATTCACAAAAAACATGGGTAATTGGAAACCGTTTCACAATTACTTTTGGGTACATTCCTAGATGAGTCGGCGGATAATTGGGGGAATAAGACCGAAGGTAATTGAGGATTTTTCGTAGAGAACAAGAGGTGTGGATATTATCTGTAACTCACATCTCCATACCTCCTTATGAATGATGTTCATCTAATTGATTAGCACCAAACAAAATAAACATGAGAGTGGGTGATTGACTGACTGTGGTATGGTTAGGATATGGTGAATTAGACAATCTGTACAATGCAATGAGCTCAATTAAAAAAAGTGGGATAAAATACGTTTTAGTTTTCACAAAGATGCACGTCATAACCAGAGTGTTCTGTTTAAAAATAAAAAGCAGGAGAAACACATTGGCTCTTCACTTTATGTAGCAGAATTATATTTTTTTATTTGTTTGACCAGGTAAGGCCCACTGAACCATCCATATAGCTCTTATTCAGAAGCGACCTGGCCACGACTGATAGCTCAACGAAGTGGCTTATCACGTGGAAATCTGTTTCAGCCAAATGCTCTAAACGCGTGATGTTGATTATACATGTGGAGGGGAACCCCGGAGGACCCAGAATAAAATCCACACGAGAACATGCAGACTCCAAATATACAGGCCTCAGAGGTCGGGATTGAACCCACGACCTCCTGCCTACTGGGCAAGGTATTTAACAGCTCGCTACTATGGCGCCCCTAAATTACATCACTGGGAATTGAAAATACGTGAAGCAAATGAACGTCACCATCATGAAACAAACATTTCTCGAGCTATTCACACCACGTGGTAAAGTGTTGCCCCGAATACGTGCACCAGATGTTAAATTAAGCTTTTGTGATATGCACTTCCGTGGGCTGTTATTTAACGCAGACCGCACAATAAGGCTAAATCTGGTGGAAAGACCAAAGTAAATACAATCAAAAGAAAGATGGAGGATGACAGACATTATTTGGCCTTGTTTCACCCCTGGTTATGTGTGGGTGGCTTGATGTGTGTAGAAAACCTACAAACATGGGTCAATGTAGCCCGCATGCCCAGCCTCCGCATGCCCAAGTAGCTTCCGTTTGGCGGGGGGGGAGGGGGGTTAAACGGGTACAACATGGGCTGGAGAAGAGATGGAACTGATGCACTACGGGAGGATGTGGAGTTGAGTGGACTTGCCATAGACTGGTACCAGTGGTGTCAAGATCGGCCTCTGTGGAGGAAGCTCGTGAAGGACGCTACTGGACAGTTGGAGGCAGTCGCCCTCCAACGCTCACAACAAGGCTAAAATGCAGAAAGTTGGCAGAGTAGGGGGTACAGCTGATGCATCTTCCAGTCATGTCAGGCAGCCAATCCATGGCATCTGGGTCTGTCCCGTGATCTGTCAGCGAGCTTTCGACACTTCAGGTGGCCTCAAAGTGCACCTGGCCTGGCACAGACGCCGTGATGACGTCACCGCCAGTTAGTGGCGAATGGCGGGTATTGGTATACAACCTGCAATTGTTTTCATAAAACAATGCAGTACAGTACTATATCGTAATAATTAAAAGGGTTATTAAATGGAGTAATTGAAAATGGGAGTTTCTGAATTTCCTGACAGGTTATTTGGTCTTATTGTACAACGCAAATATGCACGAAACGTGTGAATACGCATCGCTATATGGACTCTTGTATGCGAGCACCTATTGAGGACGCACAAGTTGCATAATGAGGTCACGAGCACGTCTTCCGTGAAGCTGCTATGTTGCTCCCAAATGTCTTCACAATGAGGGGAAGCTGTTCTTGCAGGATATGAATTGTACCGGATATTCTGTTAAAAAATAAAAAAAATTCAGTCATATGCTTGGCGGGTCGCAAGCAGTTCCACCGTTTCAGTTGCTAATTAGTGTCGGGATCGTATCACGGGATGATATTTCAATCTGGAATCCTACAGCTATAGCAGTGAAATATTGTTTCGCTTGTTTATCCAGGAAATCCAAGCTGAGTCTCACGACTCTTTTGTCAGGAGGTTTCTGTCAGCTCTTGCAGTAAGGGGGAGGGAGGGGGAGATTGCTATGTCTATTCCGATTGAGTAATTTGAAGGTCATTTCTCAGATTTTTGGACCATGGCGCTGGCACACAACGGCCTACTATTGCGAACGTATGTGCATATGTTGAACTTCATTCGCATCTTCTTGGTTCTTTCGGTAAAGTCACGTAGAAGGGAAATAATACAATAATTCAGACGCTGTCTTTCCGACAGACCTGTTCTTCACCTGAGGACGGCTGCTTGCGTTGTGGCCGAAACGTCGTGAGAATTGTATTTTATTATGTTTCATTTTTATTATTTTATTATTTCCCTTCTACGTGACTTTACCGAAAGAACCAAGAAGATGAATCCCTGCAGTCACGAAAGCTTAAAATCGAAATTCTTTCGCACCGTACGTAGCCAACCGTGCCACGAATTGGAGGTGCCAATGACGTCCACTGTGAAAGGAGACGGCGCGTTTCGTTTTCCGTGAATGCGCTCGCAGAATATAACCAGGGCGGCCATTGGGTTCGAACCGCTGAAACAAAACGTCGAACGAGCTACCGTGAGGCCACTTCACCGCCCCAGAAGATGTTGTTCCAATGGCTTTTTTCAAGTCCCTTCAATAATAATCGATCCATGATATTCAGCAGTGGAATACAGTACCGGAGTGCTCTAAATTATTCGGAATCAATCTTTAGCTTAGCAAATTCACACACCAATATTTAAACATAGGAATGAGACGTTTATATTTTAATTGCATTGGTGGAGGAATGGCTAGAAACGCTACGTTAGAGCTAGGCTAACTGTGGACTCTGGTTCATTCTGGTTGAGTAAACAAATGCTGCAGGGGGATATCATTGGTCTGCAAGGTCAATGGGCTGATGGGACAAAAAAAATACTTTTTTTCACGTGGAGACATGAACAGAAGTATATATCTTGGGGCCTTTTTGCCAGTATCAAAGTAGGAAAATAAAGAATAGGTTTTACCTTTTCTGGCAGTAAAAACAGGTTTTTCGATGTTCAAACACCAAATAGAAACCTTTTTCAAGGAATCACGTATGATTTAACGACACGAACTTGTGGTGAACACGCAAACAAACATGCTGTGACAATATTTGCATTGTCTATGATAGCACTATGTAACACAATTTTTGTTCCTGGGTACTAAGTGTTATTTTTAATGGCTTATGCCAAAAAAGTATATAAAATGGCTAATATTCCTCAAAAACTTTGCTTTTGTGACCAGGACTTTATGTGAAGAAATGACACAAATGCACACCACGTTTTCTCATTGAAAATAAGTACATTTAAAAATATCACTGTCCTGGTCACAAAAGTAAAATTTATGGTGAATTTTCTGTACTTTTGAGGCATAAGCAATTAGTAAATAACACTTACTACCCAGGAACAAAACAGATTGTTCCACAGTGTCATACATTAACAGAAGTATGTTTATTTCCTTATCCTTTATGCGCCAAAACAACGAATAATATTTCATGAAACAGTAATACGATTTTATACATTATCGAGATCCGCTTTTTGTGTTTAGTTTGTTGTCCTTCTCCTGCACCTCTGGTTAGCACGGTTGGTTACGT